CCCCAAAACCCCAAAACCCCAAAACCCCATGAGTAAATTTAGAGCGATAACTGGTAATAGTGGATTTAGATAGATATCTAAAAGCTCTCCAATAAAATTATTACAATTAAATATGAAGTTTGCTTCTAGATAAATATTCAGACATAATTCAAAGTATAAAGCAACTACAATTGTTTTAACTTTAATCGGTATAAATCTGTCTGCTTCTCTTTAAAATACTTGCGAGAGTGGATATTACTTTAAAATAACAGACGTTGGTACTGGAGCAGGGAACTGCGAAATTTGTCCTGCTGGTAATCCTTACTCTTTTCCAATTACTATTTATAGGTTACTGATGCCCGACGTCTTCTGCTAAAGAAGCTTGTACTATTGGCACTTACAGTTCAATGGGTTAACTAGATTGCACTACATGCCCTGATGGATTTTATTGTCCTTCTGTATCAGATCCTCCTTAGACCTGCCCTCAAGGTTAAATGCCTGCTTCAGATAAGCAAAGCTGCACAGTTTGCCCAGTAGGATATACTTGCCCTAATCCAAATGCATTGACTAAAACTCAAGCTTCCCTTCCATATTATGCACCAAACACGGAGATGACTTAACCATTACCTTGTCCAGCAGGGGCTACTTGTACTACAACATCTACTACTAGTTGCTCGTAAACTGGGGGTTATTACTCAGAATTCTTATCTAATAGTTGTAGTCAGAGTCAGAAGGGGTTCTTCTCTCCAAGCTTATATTTCTCTCAATAATAATGCCCAGCTTCAACATACACTAGCTCTGTTGGATAAACCTCTTGTTCGCTATGTGATGCTGGCTTCTCATGTTCTGATAAAACAGGAACTAAAACAAGCTGTGCAACACGAACCTTTTCGGACTAAGGTTCTACTTCCTGCTCAGCTTGCCCATCAAATTACAAATGTGATGATACAACTAAGGCCTAAATTAAGCCATGTCTTCAAGGATATTACCTAAATTCTCTTACAAATGCCTGTGTAAAATGTCCAGCTGGAAAATACTGTAGTGAAACTGCTGTAATAGGCAATTGTCCACTTGGTACCTACTCAACTGACAGAGGTTATTGTATGATCTGTCCATCTTTTTAAGCATGTTCAAATCCTGCGAGTCCAGTAACTTGTACTGATACTCAGTATGTAGATCCAGTGACGTCAACATGCAAATCATGTCCTGAAGGTTAGATATGCGTGATAGGTTTAATCTAAGTATAAAGTCCAAGAATATGCCCACCTGGCTACTACAAGGCTAGTTCGTCTGACAAAACTTGTACGATCTGTCCCGAGGGCAATTATTGTCCAACCTCTACTGCTGCTGTAAGTTGTGCTACTAACTATATCTCAGGACCAGGATTCTCAAGTTGCATTAAATGTCCAGCAGGTTATAAATGTCCTTCAACAAAAAAATCTGACATTACAAAGTGTTCAGATGGATCTTATTCACTAGAAGGAGATAATGCATGCACTAAATGTGCAAAAGGCCAAATTTGCCCCTAAATAAATTAATCTCCTTAATCTTGTGCTGCAGGTACCTACATGTCAAGTGTAGAATCAAAGGATGCTTCATGTGAAGTTAGTGACATAAATACCTCTTACTTAAGCAAAACAGAAGATCCAGTTGACTGTAAAGATGGTGAATTTTCAGGTTTAGGCTCATCTTCTTGTTAAAAATGTCCTGATGGGAAGCCTTGCTCAACTGATAAGAAAGGTATTTAATAAAACTGTGCACTTGGCTACTACTTTGACAAAAAAACCTTAAAATGCATTGAATGTGATTCGGGTAACAATGAATGTTATGATTCTTAGAAATTCAACTGTCCAATCGGCACAATCCAAAAACTTGAGGATTTCAGCGGCAGATATTCCTGTATTGAGTGTACCGATCTTTAAATTTGTGCTATTGATTCTGCTGGGGGTATGCAAAATAATTATTGCTACGGTAAAGAATCGAGAAAGTATGTCATATCAGAATTCGAAAAAGCTAATCGCTTTCCTTATTATAATTACCAATTTTGTTTTGATTGCAAATCAGTGGATTTAGCTGGTTCTATTTGTACTTTTGCTTCAAACTATTTCACTTCTCATGCTGGTGCTAATTTGACTTGCCCGACAATTAGATCATAAAGCTACTTGAATTAAGGACTAGATAAAAAATACTACCAAGATTTTAGATATTGGGACCTAGATACTGTAGACCATTATTAGTATCCTTTCTGTGATTTCCAGTCAAAACCACTTGCTTCAAACTTTGATTTAATATATGATACATTTTGCTAGAAGTATTCTGAGTACTTAGATCCACTAATATCTGTGTGCAAACCCTCATTCCCTGGGTTTATAAGAAGGCATTAAGAGCATTAGACTGAATTACCTGTTAAAGATTTTTACTCTATGCTTGAATAATCAGAACTTGGCACAGCTAATATTATCAAATCTTGCCCAAATACTGCTGAATTGATGACCGATGGAGGTGGTTCAGAGCATTAAGCCTGTCTTCTGAAATCTGCTGGAAAATGCGATGAAAAGGAATCTGATTTTTGTCATGATGGCTACGATTCAGTTTGCCACGCTGGATTCACTAGCTTTTCTGATGTTTCTATAAAGAAAAATAAAACAAGAGAAGAATGTGTTCCTTGTGGGCATGGAGTTTACTGTGCAGTAGGATCTAGGAATAAAACTTGCGATTAGGGAAGATTTTGCCTAGATTAAACAGAAGATGCATCTTAATATGCTGCAAGACCTGGTAATATGATTGCTAAAAATGGAACCTTTGCCTTTAATGCAGAGGTCAATTGTACAACTGGCTATTGCCCTCAAAAAAGTTCTGGCTAAACTGAATGCCCGCCTGGATATCACCTTGATGTAAATCAGAATGCTCATAACTCATTTAACTGCCATCCTAATGGTCCAGGCATTTATAATAGTACTTCTGGGTCATAGACTACTTGCACTGCCGGTTCATATTGTCCAGAAGCTGTGTTTTCTTTATCAGATATGATCCCATGTCCTCCAGGTCATTATTCTGATTCAGCAGGACTAATTGACAAGTCTTAATGCACTGCTTGTACTAAAGGTAAGTTCTGTGCAGAAGAATCAACTACTTAAGAACAAATAATATGTCCTGCAGGATTCATATGCCCAAATAGAACTAGACATCAATTTGAAAATGCATGTCCTGGTGGAACTTACACAACTTCTTCAACTGGAGCTTATACTTCAGAACAATGTCTCACTTGCAGAGCTGGCTTCTATTGCAAAGAAGGTTCGGGATCAATGATAGATTGTCCTTAAAATCAATATTGCCCTGAAGGATCAACCATTCCAGTTGATTGCCCAATTAATACTTTCAGAGATACATTAAATGGAAAGGCTTCAAGTGATTGTTCATCATGCCCTCCAAACTACATCTGCCCAGGGGGAGCAGATCCAATTCCTTGCCCAGCTGGATTTTCACTTTTTGATTAAAGCTCTTCAACATCTCCAGGATTCTTAACCTGTGTTGTAAACACAGAGGGCACATTTACATCTACTGCTGCTCAGAATAAATAAACTTGTCCTGATGGATTTTATTCTAAAGATAAAGCTACAGGATGCATAAAGTGCCCTGCTGGATTTTTCTGTAGTTCAGGAACATAGGATCTTTGTAGCATCGGAAACTACTGTCCTGAAGGATCTTCAACTCAAAATAAATGCACAGCTGGTACCTATTGTCCAGTTGAAGGCCTTAATAGAACATTGCCTTGCCCACCAGGATACTACTGCCCAGGTGGTGCCTCTACTCCTACAAAAACCTCAGCTAATTACTTCAATGTCTAAGGTGAAATCTCAGGAACATTACATTAGTGTGGTAATGGATATTCTTGTGCAGGTGGATCAATTGGTCCTTACGATGTTCCTTGTGCCCCAAATACTTTTGCTGGCACTGGACAAGCATGCTCAGCCTGCGATCTCGGAAAATATTGTCCTATTGGATCAGATCAATAATTTGATTGTCCAAAAGGCTACTATTGTGATCACAAAACTCCTTTTCCAGTTAAATGTCCAAAAGGAACTTATGGTAAAACTACAAATCTTGCATCAAAGGAAGATTGCACACCATGTCCAGGTGGATACTACTGTCCTTAAGAAGGATAGACTGATTTCACTCATAAATGTGACGCTGGATATTATTGTTCAGGCGGCTCTTACACTTCTCAGCCAGATCCTAATGATCCTGTAGAGAACTTGCTTGGAGGTTTATGCCCAGCAGGTTCGTACTGTCCCTAAGCATCCACCGACCCATAAGATTGTCCTCCAGGAACTTTCAATAGTTTCCCAGGTATGAGAAGTGCTACTGACTGCTAAGCGTGTACTCCTGGATATTATTGCGTTGGTTCAGACTCTTCTGAGCCAACTGGCTTATGTGATGCTGGTTATTATTGCCCAAGAGGTTAGTCAGTTTAAAACCCATCATCATTCAAAGCTGAAGCTGGATACTATTCATTATAAGGTTCTGCAGATTAAATTGCATGCTTACCAGGGACTTACTCCGATGCTCCAGGTCACTCTGAATGTCTTCCTTGCCCCTCAGGAACATATTGCAACAGTTTTAGAACTAAATAACCTTCAAATTGCGATGAGGGCTACTATTGCCCATTAGGATCAATAAACATGCTACCTTGCAAAATTGGAACATATAATCCTACCAGTGCATCAAGTGGAGATCAATCTTGCTTAAGTTGCTCTGCTGGTAAGTATTGTGATGAAGAAGGACTCACTTATGAGAAAGGAGATTGCGATGCAGGATATTTCTGTAAAGTAGGATCGCCTAATAGGATGCCTGCGATAAATGTAACTCTATCTTCAAACGCTATCTATCTTGATCTATATGGTTTATGTCCAAGAGGAAACTATTGTCCTGTTAGAACCAAAGACCCTATTAAATGTCCGATTGGATACTACCTTGATTTCGAAGGAGCTCAATCATTGGCTGATTGTGTGATTTGTCCAGCTGGAAAATACTGCTTAACTGAAGGTCTTGCAGCTCCTACTGGTGATTGTGATGCAAACTATTATTGTGAAGCTGGATCAGACAAAAAGACTTAGCTAGAATGCCCTGCTGGCTCAAAATGCATTGTTGGATCAATCTTTCCAATAAAGTGCCCAGCTGGCAAATTCTAAACTTAAACTCTTCAAAGTGCATGCATGGTCTGCACTTCCGGTTACTTCTGTGAGGAAGGATCCTAATCTGAAGCTATTTGTCCAAAGGGAGCCTATTGTCCATCTAGTACACCAGCAGGTAATGAGAATTATTGCCCATCAGGAACTTACAATAGCCTCGAAGGATAAACAAGTTCTTCATCTTGCCTGACTTGCCCAATTGATAAATACTGTAAAATCCCCGGAGCTTATGAGGACGATCACAATGACACTTTAATGGGAAAAATCTAGAATGGATACTACAATGCTGGAGGAAGTTAATATTCTATCCCAATTACTACTGGAAGATTATGTAAATAAGGTTAGATTTGCAATGCTGGAGTTGAGTCAGACTGCCCACCAGGAAAGTATTGCAATTAATAAGGATTAACAGAAGAAATTGGAAGTTGTCATGAAGGATATTACTGTCCAGGAGGTGCGAAATATGAGCTCACTGTTCATTAAAGTTCTGAGGCTTCTGATAAAGTATATAAATGCTCACAATCCTAATTTTGTCTAGCAGGTTCTGTTTCACCTTCAGCTTGCCCCATAGGGACCTATTCGGATGGAAAAGGTCTGTTCTCAGATTCAGATTGTAATCCTTGCCCGATAGGTTATTAATGCACAACCACAGGATTAAGTTTTAGTAATTTAGTGAAGTGTCCAAATGGAAAGTACTGCCCTGGGAAAGTGGCTTCTCCAGCTGATTATGGCCAATGCCCAATTGGAACCTTCTGTACCTAGGATTTTATAGAGCCTTAGCCTTGTCCACCTGGTACTTTCAATTCCTAAGTTGATTAAAGTCAATGCTAGTCCTGCACTGGTGGATATTGTCCTTATAAAGAGACTGAAGTCAAAGCCGCTCCTCAAGGATACTTCGCAAATACAACTGGATTAGTGGCACCTGTTCCCTGCCCTGCAGGATTTTACATTGATTCAACAACATAGAAATGCACAATATGCCCAATCGGCACATACTGTGATGAATACCTGCTAACTGCTGCGGCCTTAGATAGAGCATGCCCAGTTGGTTTTTATTGCTTATCAGCAGGAATTCAAGATTATCAGTAATTTATCTGTGAAGAAGGATATTATTGTCCTGATGGAGGTTCAAGAGTTTCTTGCCCTGCTGGATCATACTGCGCAGGTGAAGGAAACTCAGCTATAAGCGGTTAATGCTTCCCTGGCTATTACTGTAATTAAAACTCCAAAGTCCCTGATGAAAATTTGTGTGAACCAGGCTTTTACTGCCCAATTGGTTCCCCTTCACCTAAGGCATGCCCGAATAATACCTACAATGACAAGACTGGAGCCTCAAATGAAACATTTTGTCTTCCCTGCCCATAAAACAAGGTTTGCACAGGCTCAGCTGTGTACGAACCTTCCTCTAGTTGTCCTGTTGGATTTTACTGCTTGACTGAAAACAAAGTGCTTAAGGTAATTGAATGCGATCTAGGACATATGTGTCCAGCCGATGAGGATGTAAAAATAAGATGTGAACCAGGTACATACCAAAATCTTACTAAGCAATCTCAATGCTTAGCCTGTCCAGCAGGTTATTACTGCTTCAATAATACCAATCCTATCATCTAACCTCAAATCTGTCCAGCTGGTTTCTATTGCGAGGTAGGAACTCCATACTTTGAGATGTTCCCATGTCCTAATGGCACTTACAGCAATTAGCCAGGACTCTAATCTTCAGCTCTGTGTGCTAAATGTCTTGAGGGAAAATATTGCAACTCAAAAGGATTGAATGCTCCAACGGGTTCTTGCAAAGATGGTTTTGAATGTAAAGAGAGTTCAAGATTCTCTGATGGATCAAAATCATCTAATGAATCTCATTTATGCCCTGAAAATAAATTCTGCATTGGGGGTGTTACATCTGATTGTCCTCTAGGGACATACAACACTCCAAAGGGAATGACTAATCCTTCTTAATGTATTCATTGCCCTCCAGGCTATTATTGTACAAATGTAGCTACCTAAATTGAATGTCGGGAAGGATACTATTGCATCGGAGGAATTCAAAAAGATGAAGATTCAATAAAATGTCCTAAAGGCTCTTATTGCCCTAAAGGATCCTATGAGCCTCGGAAATGCCTTCCAGGACAATATTAAGACCTAGAAACGCAAGCAACGTGCAAGGCATGTCCAGTTGGAAAATTCTGCAATGACTTTGGAATGGTTACTCCAACTACTTGCCCAACAAATAGAGTATGCGAAGAAGGATCTAAAACTCCTAGAGCATGTCCACCAGGAAAATACGCTTTAAATAACTTATGTGTTTCTTGCCCAGCCGGAAAGTATTGCTGGCCCGATTCCACTTCAAATGGAATTACAGGTAATTGTCAATAAGGATATGTCTGCTAATCAGGATCATACAGTCCAATGCCTTACTACGATGTTGAGATAATGAAAGAATCTACTGCTGCTTTCTTGACATATAATGGACCAGTTATTAAAGGGTACTACTCTACAAATGGTCAATCATAAACAGCTTGTGATACAGGATTTTTCTAGCCATCAAAATGGTCAAAGAGCTGTCTAAAATGTTATGCAGGTTCCTATTGCCCTAACAAAGGAATGAGTACTGTTGATAATCATCAGTGTAAACCAGGAACTCTTTGTAAAGAAGGAATGATTTCTCTTGTCAGTGCAAGTTATTGCTAGAATCCTTATCAAACAACAATTGCAATTGGATAACCCCATTGTATGGCATGTAATGATGGCTATTATACAGAAGTAGCTGATATTTGTGAGATATGTCCATCAGGCTTCTTCTGCAATAATAATGTTCCTGCAAGAGAATCACCACTCAAGTCATGTATTGTAGGATAGAATTGTCCAGGTGGAACGAAACTAGAACCTAAATGTGACGATGGAAAATTTTTCTCAAATAATTTATGTCTTGATTGTGAGTCTGGTAAATATTGTAGAGGAGGAAACAACACTGGAATATGTACAGCTGGATATTTCTGTACTGGAGGGGCATCTTCACCAACTCCATATGGAGCTTAGTGTAGCATTCAAAGATATTGTCTTCATGGTACAATTAGAGAGGCGAAGTGTCCATCAGGATATTATAGGCCTACTAGAGGAGGAATATAAGCAACCGATTGTATTGAGTGCTTAGCAGGTTATATTTGCAATTCTAATCAAGAACCTTATGAATGTCCTAAAGGCTACTATTGCCCACTTGGAGAAAACAAATTTTATCCTTGTCCAAAGGGAACCTACTCTCAATAAACCTCAATAATTGTTGAAAGCGATTGTCAAAGCTGCCCTGCTGGTTTTTACTGCAATGCTACAAATATAACTGATTACTCTAAGTTTGCTTGTCCTAAAGGCAAATATTGCAATACTAGATCTTTGCTACCAATCAACTGCCCTGCTGGTACTTATAGAGATGTAGCTGGAGCAAGAACTTAAGCTGAATGCTACACCTGTCCAGCTGGCTACTATTGTCCTGAAGCTTCAATCACTCCAATCAGATGTAAACAAGGAACTTACTGCCCAGAAGGTTCTGCATACTATAAAACTTGCCAAGGTGGCTATTACTGCAACGAAGATACTAATATGCAATAAGAAATTTGTCCAACTAATTATAAATGCCCAAGAGGATCTAGCACTCCAATTTAATGTAAAGATAGACTACTCTGCAAGGAAGGTTCTGAAATTGGTATTCTTTGCGGAGCTGGATTTTATTTGAGTTTATCAGAATATGGATTTATGAACGAATGTCTATAGTGTCCTGAAGGTACATATTCAACAGTTAATGACCTAATTTGTAAAAATTGTACACCAGGTTATCTTTGCTATGGATAAACTAATAGAAAATATCCAACTGATTTCACACTTCATCATGGTGAAATTTGTCCTAAAGGATTCTATTGTGAAGGAGGTTCCTCAGTTGCTACTCCTTGCCCTATAGGAACATATAACGCTCTTTACGGGGCTTCTTCTATTACTCAATGTCTACTTTGTCCTTCAGATACATTCAACGATATAACAGGATAGAGTGGCTGCAGACCATGTGGAACTTATGCATCTTCAATAGAAGGTAGCTCAACTTGTATTTGCGATGGAAATTTCAGAACATTCTCAATAGCTGATCAGTCATGCAGATGCAAGAGTGGCTATGACTATATCAACCCAAATACTGGCAAAGGAGAAGGCTAATAAAGTGGAGAATCTGACTGTACTCCCTTAGTATATGATAGATGCGATGGTAATACTGAAACACGTGATATTTATGGAAACTGTGTTGATCTAACTGATTGTACTGCTGCATGTAATGGTGGAAAAGGTAATAGATCTGAGACATTAGGAGTTTGTACATGTGAAAATAAACAAAATGTTGACTCAGTTTGCAACCAGAACTGCAGAAACAATGCTGCTCAGTTATAAGTCTCTGATTAAGCCACAAATATCACAGTTGAAAAAGATGGTAAAAAAGTTACTGTAGAGCTTAACGATATTGGAAATGTGTATGGATCTTTCTCTTGTAAAACTGGAAATTGCAGCCTAAAGAGTACTGAGACCTCTTCAGAAGGATTTTAAGGTAACTATGGAGGATCATCATTGATTGAAAAAAGAGTGAGAAGACAATTAAGACAGCTCTATGGAGAAGAGAGGGAACTATAGTCTGCTGACACTAATGCCATTACGAATCCTGTCTTCTGCATTAATAAGGGTGATTCTATGCTTTTTACTATCTCAAATCCAACTCATTACCCAGTTTATATGAAAGATTCAGTAATGAATTCCAATCCTGCTTTTGATTATGGATAATTCTTAATTTTGGCGACCGCAATGAAATACAAGATCTCTGTTAATAGTAAAGAATCATCTATTTTTGCATTCACTTTCTCTGAAAGCGGGAGTTATGTCTTTTCAGATGCTGATGATGAAAATAAGATTATGCTTGTCAAAGTTCAAGATGATGGTGAAGCTTGCGCAGATGCTGATAGATACATTCAACCATTAAGCGCTGAATCAGTTGCAAGTTTTGGAATGAAGTAAAAAGAAGATATCATTATTAAACCTGATGTGCCCTTATTAGTTGGTATAGGAGCAATTCTCATTGTTTCAATTGGAACAGTAATGATCGGTGTTGGATATTGCTTACACAAGGGATGGTCAATTAAAAAGGCCATAATTTAAGGATACAGAAATAAATATCTCAAGGTTGACGTTTCTCATTCAAATGAAAAGACATTCGAGAAAGAGAATGATTTTGAAAAATTCAGATCTAACCTTGGAAGTGACAGCGAAGAGGATGATTTAGATAATATAAATCTAGATATCCATCAGGATTTACTTGAAGCAGGTCAAGTTTATCTAAAGGTATTCGACGACAAGAAAGTCCAAAGATTGAAGGAGAAAAAGAGCAAGAAGGCTGAGATCCTTAAACTTATGAAAGAACTTGAAGATATGATATCAATTATTGGTTCTGATGCTATGACTAATCAAATGCAGATCTACAACCAAGATCTAGAAAATGGCCAAGCATTCAGTGATCTAGATGAAGAGGAGGCTGAAGAAAGACGTCGCAGAATTTAGGAACAGTAAGAACTCAAAGAAAAACAGAGACTCGAGGCTGAAGAACTTAGAAGATAGTCATAAATGAAAGAATGGTCAGATAGAGATAAGTAAAAACTCAAAGATACTTAGGATAAGATCAGTCACAATCTAGAAATGCTAAAGAAAGAATTTAATTCAGACATTGCACCCAGGAAGGTAATTGATAGAGGTAATCATGAGGAATAAGTTGGTGATGATTTAGCAATGGCAATTTATGATGGAGGAGATCCTAATTCAAGGCACAACTAAATAGTTAAAACAATCGAGAACAATTAAAACTTCACAGAAGAGGAAAAAGAAGCACTCCTTAGACAGCATCAAAAGAATCATATGTAGATAGAAGAAATCATGGAGCTTGAGAAGAAGAGGTAAGATGAAGATATGGAGAGAGCACTAAAGGAAAGAATTGAGAAGAGAAAGCGCGCTCTTGAAGCTAAACACAAGAAGGAAATACAGTAAGAGGTCAAGGAGTAGGAGAAAGTTATTAAAGATGAAATCGAAAAGGAGAGAGATGACAAGAGTGCAGTTATTGAACAAGATATTCAATAGAGAATGGATGAGTTAACAAGTAATCTTAAAGATGGTCAAGCCCAAAACTATAGACAATGGGTAGATGATCTAAAGAAGGAAAGAGACAGCAAGAAAAAGCAGATGAACTAGGAAATGGATAATGAATAGGATACCAGAATTAAAAGAATGAGAGAAGAGGTTGTTAATAAATACACCCAAGGAGTTGGTACTGACGAGGAACTTGAAGCTCTGCTTAAGGAATCTAACCCAGGAATGGAAAATGCTATTGACGAACTTAAGAGATAAAAGCAAGAAGAGGAGCAGAAGCTAAAGGAAGCATTGAGCAAAAGAAAGAAGGATTTAAAGTAAAAGTTAAAGTAAGATAAAGAAAAGTTTGATCAGGAAATTATGACAAAAGATCCAATTAATGAAGAAGAAGTTGAAAAGAAGAAACTATAAATGTAGATTCAAGCTTAACAAGAGTCAATTAATGCCAGTCATTCGATTATGACATCTAGACAAAATGGATCATCCTTAGCATTATAATAACAGCAGCAAGCAGTTCAGATTGATCCTGCTCTCAATTTCTAAAAACTATTACAAGATATTGACACCTAATGTGATCCAAGTTCTCTTCTGAATGAGCTAGGTCAAACTGATGAAAATCTTTCAAGTCTTTTATAATAGAGCAAGGATGAACAAGATGCAAAACTAGATGCCAGAAGGGATCTACTCAGACAGAGAAAGATTCTTAAGAAATAGTAAGAACAAGAGTAAGAGAGACTCTAAGAAAGACTCAAGCAAATCTAGATGGAGGCTGATGAAAAGGCCAAGATTGACTAGAAATATATCAAAGATCTATTTATAAAGCAGTAATAATTGTCCTTAGATGCAGATGAAGGTGGTGATAAGGTCTAACTTCAATAGCAACTCATGATTTTTAATGAATTTGCTTCAGATGCTTTCTTATAAAGACTTTCCAACCTGCTAATGAAGCAGTTCTTGGAAAAAGAAGCTTAATTAAAACTATTACTTTAGAGATTTATGGACTAAAGAATCATCGAGAAAAACAATCTGAAGAAGTAATTCAAGAACTAATATGATAAACTGAGTGATATTAAGGATCAGATAAGCGAAGATCAATACAATGATACTCTGAAAGCATTAAGACTTAAAGAAGAAAACTTGCTCAGAGATATTGACTTGCAGTTTGATAAAGCTATGAAAGAAGAAGAAACTCATCTCAGAAACGATCTAGAGAAGAGACATACTGATGAATAAATTAATCTTAAGAAGTAAAATGTCGAAGAATAGATCAAACTGAAGAAAGATTTGCTGCTTGTTGATGAAAACAACCAAAAAGATGTATAAAAGGAATATGATAACTTAAAGACGTTTGAAAATAACAAGAAACGTGATTAAGATAAGAGACTCAGAAGCCTAGGTCTCTAAAAGTAGGAGATTCTGAGATAGATTGAGAAAGAGGTTCAGAACGAGTATCAAGATTATGAAGATTTACTTAAGAGAAAAAGAGATGAAGAGGCTTAATTGCAAGAAGCTACAATGAACATTAGAAAGAAATTGTAAGATCGTAAAAAGAAACTTAGAGAATAAGGTATCAAAGAAATGAGTCAAGCTGATCAAAAGAAGATGATAGAAAACTATAATCTGCAACTTTAAGCTTTGGAATCTGTATTTGAAGAAGAAAGAAGAAGATAAATGATGCAAATGAAGAAAAAGCAAAAGTAAAGAATAGACAAGCAAGAAAAGCAAAGTGTACTCAAAGCGAAAGTGGCAGAATAAGAGCTTGATTCTATTAAGAATGAACTTGGTCTTACTTTTGGCACGAGCTTTTTCAAGGCAGGTGAATAGGAAGAAGGAGGATAGAATGCTGTTGAAGAAGATGACGAGCTACTTCAGAGACTTAAAGAGTGGAGAAGGAACAGAACTGAGCAGAAGAAGCTTGACGAAGAAAAGAAACTTGCTGAGACTGTAATTGATCTTGATCAACTCTCACTCAAGAAACTTATTATCAAACTTGATAGTCTTGAGAAAAATCTCAGAGAGTTGAGAAAACTCAAAGGAATTGATATCAGATAGAACTTGCTTGAATAAAGTATGCAAAAGAGACAAGGCACTGATATTGATCTTTATAGCAGTGGAAATCTTAATATTGATCTAGGAAAGGGTAGAAATCCCTTCGTGAGAGTAATTGATTCAGTCGCATCAATATCTCCAAGAGATAGAGGTTCTTTGAATCCAAGTGCTTTGAACACAAAGAATAAAAATTCTAACAGAAGTCCATAGATAGCAAAAGGACTTAACCTTAACCTTGACGCTGTAAAGAAAAATCAAGCAGAGGAAAAAAATCATCCACAATTCAAAGTTGAGATAAGCGATCCAAAGAACGTTGACATGTCTAAATTCAAAAAATTTGTTAAGAGATGAATTGAAATTAATGATGCTATTAATTTCATCACTCGAATCTAAAAAACTATAAACAATTATTTCAATAAAAATTACTAAAGAAATTGCTATTTCTCAATTAATTACAAATTAAGATATCTGGGGTTTTGGGGTTTTGGGG